TTTTGTTCTAGACTGGTGGACCAAGCATTCTTTGTAAATAAAATGTACTATGCTAATTTGGTCATAAAGTAATTGATGTCTAGTGGAAAAATACCAACAGAGTGGGGACTAAAAGTTTGAGCTCACATTGAAACAGAGAAATGTAGACAAAGTTTAATGTTTTGGGTTCAAAATAATAATACAAAAAATAAAACAAATACATTAAAAAAAGTTTACCAAATACAGAATATTTAAGATTCTACACTATTTATATCGCCAATCAAATGTCTACAGTCCATTATCATTTGAAAGTTTTGGGTTGGTGAAAACTTTTTAATGTTTTTATGAGACTTTTATGAAGTCTCTTATGCTCACTGAATATATCTGATCAAAAAGTAAAAACAGTGATATTGTGAAATATTAAATTAACTGTTTTATATTTGAATATATTTTATAATGTAATTTATTCCGGTGATGGAAAAGCTGAATTTTCAGCAGCCATTACTCCAGTCTCCAGTGTCATATAAACCTCTAGAAATGAAGAAAAGCTGCTTAATATTTTTGTGGAATCTCTGGTACATTTTTTTCAGGATTGTTTGATGAATATAAAGTTTAAAAGAACAGCATTTATTGGGGAATTTTTGGTAACAATGTAAAAGTCTTTACTGACACTGATGAATTTAATGCAAAAGTAAGGTACGGTAGTGTAATTAAATGTGTAACCATCAAATACATTCAGTAATATATACATAAGATACTCTGAAATTCATGATTTTTCAGTTCAACAAATGTAATGTAACCCAATTTCTTCTGCTAATAATTTTTATGATTATAAATTCTTATTAAAAATTGTAAATATATATTTTTAAAGAAGCACACTCAAATTATTGAATTGTAAGTTTTGCCAACAGTTTAAGAAATTTAATTCTTTCTCCATTCAAGTAAATAAGAACAGTGCTTTCTTGTCTGGAAATAGCTGCCCAAGGGCGTTACCAAGATGCCCACAGACTGGACTGATGCTGCCATTAAGTGAAGTCAAAATGGCCGTATTTACTGGTTGAATGCACAAGAACGCCACCACAATCTTGTAATTGCCAGTGGGAAACCCAGTATTTTCTTTGAGCCTTCTTTCAGAGTTGGGCCAGTCATTTAAAGAATCATCATGGAAGCTACTGTAATTGTATCATAAGCTGTAAATAATTTACTTTAGTAGTTTGTACAAAAATAAACTAAAAAGAAAGCAGCAGTCTTAAAATTGCAAAATGCTTCAATTGTATTCCAGTCAGAAGTGTTTATTCCAATCCATCCCATCGTAATTACAATTTCCAAAGTCATAAGTAGAAGCTTGCGACGAAAATCAAATATTATGAAGTATGAACAACAAAGCAAATTAAATATTCTAATACTTAATTCTGCCATCACTGATGAAATCGCTGCTTAACTTTTCAGTTGGGTGGGGGTTAAGGATGCAGGTTATCATGCCTGGGACCAAAAAGAGAACAACTTGACTGTATCTCAGAGCTGAAAGGCCTCTGCACATCGCAGCGCTGCAATCTCACTCATCTCTCTCCACGCTTACAAAACACCACATCAATAGCGTTTGCACCAAGCGCAGCTGGATAAAAATACACCACCTTTGGTAACCCTCACCTACTGTAGGGAAACAACAGAACTTAATTTCATCACCTATGAAGGCACGGCATCAAAGAAACTACAATGCGCTCCTCACTCAACGCTATTTGCCAAGGCAACAATACAATGGACCTTATAAAGCTAATAAATAGTGAGGAGGAGGAGGAGGAAGATGGGAAAAAAATAAGATGGGGTGAACGAAAGCATGAAAATGTGAGATCTATTCCCGGAGCTGCAGAGAGAGGACATCAATGCCTTTACAACTGTGATTTCAACTCTGATCTGCGGCTTCAATCACAACAGCGCTTGGAATTAATGTCTTTGGCCTCCCAGAGGAGATGCTAACATGCGATTTCAGTGAGGGCCCTTTTTTGTCTTCGTATGCCAGCAGAATGAAATTAAAGTACTATCAACAACATACCGTGAGGTCTCAATGTTGATAACCCAAAAATCTGCTTCTGTTCCAGGGAATAAGGCAAAGAACCTCAGAACTTCACGCCACCAGATGAAACAAGCTCAAAAACCCCATGAAATGCTACCATTACAAAGTCTTGCAACGGTGGGACACAGGACACGTTTATTAGGGCAGACCGTCAGGGAGCCGCCATCAAAGAGAAGAGTAGAGGACCCCTCCATCTGAAAAGCCCCCTGTTAGACTGGAGAGTGACTGAGATGAAAAGGCCCTTTTTACAGTGGAGACCTGGCAAACAGAGATATAAACTCCCCTGTAGTGCCAAAAGGGTTTTGTATGCTGCAGCGATATTTCCTTCGCTATCTATCACCGTGTGCCTTCCTTAAGAGATAGCTTGTCTTGTACAGAGGGAATGGCGGGTAATGTGGCCAGGGAGAGTCATGTAACTCACAGGCCAACTGAAGCTTTGGTTAAAGGGTTGCCAGGTCCTCCTGTCACACATGCACAGTTGGGGAGGATTTCAGGAGCGACACAGATGAAGGTAATGACTCCCGTTGGGATCTATACAAGTGACTGACTTTAATAAATGGTAGAAAAGTTTGACAGCCCGACAGCAAAATTCAAAATTAACTTTTTGCCACACCTGTTAATGGGGAGTGAATTTACCAGCCATAAATTTTTCTTACAGCCATAAAAAGCACTGTGCAAAATAAAAAAAAAAAAAAATGGAGTGACAGAAAAAAATGTCCTATCATCCATAAAAAGTATTGTGCTTTATTTAGTAAATTCTACAATATAATTTACATATATAATACACAATAAACAATATACTGTATATTAGGGCTGCTATCATCCATAAAAAGTATTGTGCTTTATTTAGTAAATTCTACAATATAATATACATATATAATACACAATAAACAATATACTGTATATTAGGGCTGTGCGATTAATGGAAATCGAATCGAAATCGCGATTTGAGACGTTGCGATTTCCTAATCGCAAAGCCTGCGATGCGGACGCGATGTTACTCTGTTCCAGAGCATATGCATGACTGCCAGCCTTGAGTTGCAATCTTACTTGCAAGAGTGAGCGCACCTCCGTTCTCCCCAATCAGCACTGCTCTAGCCAACTGCGTAAACACC